GAATCCTTCGAGGTGGAGATGGGACTAAAAGGAGCTTCCTCTTATTAAGAAAGCAAATATCAGATTCAGTATGAAGTGATATGTTGGTTGGTATGATGGTTGCGCATTTGGCATCGTTGCAGCCTGTTCACTTGTGTCTGCATGCAGCATGACGTGTGTTGTTTTCGATTCCGGTAATACACCTTGAATATACCTCGAAAGAAGTGAGACGAAATAAGCGGCTTCTACCACAGAAGACTATATTATTTTTGTTTTCAGCTCGAATCCACAATGTATTTTGGTTCAAGTATGGAATTTTCAGCATGGATATCGGTAGCCCAAATTTCGCAGGCCGTCAATTGATATCGGGTGTGCATCGGCAGGGACTTCAAACCTCAGACACTGTGCATGATCGGCGAGAGTTGTAACCACTATGCCACAGACGCACAGCGTACTGTGGCCACATGAATGAATATGTCTAATTTTCTCACTATCCTTGACGCAATCTTACAAATCTGGTATGTGGATATTGCACTGGAAGAAGAATAATTAGAGTACTTGCGAGCAAGCACAGCTTCTCTTTGCAGAGAATAGCTTCATCACTTGCAACAGATGTAGCATGACAGTCACTGTCAATTATTATTCAGTCGAATAAATCGAAAAACATCTGTCTGCGAAATATGAAAGATGAACCTGGTGGAATAATCATCCAAAAATCAATGGTGTGTTTCAAATTACCTTCAGTGCGTTCAATCGACAGAAGACTATCACAAACTCTGAAATCTGGCGGTTGGTCAACAATTGTAATAGGAGAAATAATAGTACTGACAGCATTTCGACAACTGCAAAATATGCATAGTGTAGGTCATATTACAAATCACCGGTATTCAGGGATTTGACTTGTGGCGTGCATTGACTGAAATACACAGAATTAAAAAAAAACAAGGGTATTACACGCTTGTAGGAATATCTGAAGTAAGAATATGTGTGTATTCCAATAATTTCGCCAACTTGTTGGTACAGTGAAAGTGAAACTTGAGGAGAGATGCAAATTGTCTACTCCTTCTTCTCATGATAAATTTGTCACGTCAGGAATAAAACGTGTTGCCTGCCTTTGAACCCTTCCTAGAAGAGATAAGTCATCTTAAAGACGGGAACTGGCTGTCTGGATACAGTTTTCCATTCCTGACCTCACCAGAGATGTATATTAGGAGGTCAACATATATTTGGTGACTCTAGTCAAGGCTCTCAGATTTGACCATAAGAATCTTAAACTAGGTGTGGCCACTGCACGAGAATGTGCTGTAGTTTTTAAGTCGTGACTTACTTTGACATCAAAACGTAAATGAGTCTCAACTGATGAATGTTTTATTCCCTAAGTTCGTAGGGATTCATACATGAGTGTCCAATGTGCATGTCTGCATATTTCGCTTCGTTGATCGGGGACATCCATTTCTGGAACACCCTAACAATTTCATGAGGTCTCCTGGCAAAGTGAGCGTATCAGTATCACCTATCAGATCTCTCCTGAATTCGAAGTCATCGGTGTATAGGATCACTGCCGAAAACATGAGCACAGAAAACTACAGAATCTTTGAATTTACAGATCACCAGAGTTCTGTGATTTGACTTACGCATCGCATCGACTGAAATTCATAGAAGTCAAAGTATACAAAGCTATTACTCATTTGAGAGAACATCTGAAATAAGAATATGTATGTAGGTCGTGAATTTCTCCAAACTGTTGATAAGGTGAAAGTGATTCCTGGGAAGTAAGCAATGAGTGACAGATCTTCTCGAAGAGATATCTGAGGTTTGAAATGGTCACACGGGTTATCTTTGAGTCAGTGAACTGCCCATCTTGTGATTGAGTGATGTGCACACTGACGCCGACTAGTTCTGAGTTGCTGTGAACTCACCTGTGAACATTGTGAGTGACTGGGCATGAAATATTCAAAATGACGTGCTCATTCACAAAAGGATTGTAGAGACTGGCATCAGAGAGTAATCACTCGCTTTGCTTTTGACAATCTCATAAACCAACCGAGTCCCATCACACTGATACTTTTTCTCGAAATGACGACACAATTGTATACAAAATCACTGTTCAATGTGAACTTCTGTCCAGTGAATGACGAATGCACTCAAATATCTCACAGGTAAACATATCTATCTTTCAGTCATACGCTCATGCTAACAGCATCAATTACGTCATCAGTTGAATATGGTGGATTGGAACACAGCGATGTTGAAGTCAGTCAGACGAGTGAGAAGTCGTAAGCGAAAGTGAAACCAACTTTCTCAACCAATAATATTAATGCTTACATTCGGACCCACAGATTAGCGATTCCGTCCAGAGAGGTTTATTCTGAGGCATGTCGAAGAAATTCCCTGATTAAATTGCGAAGAGAAGAGAATATTTGTTGACCAGTGATTCGAGAATCACCCATCACTGTGTTCGAACGGAGCGAATTCAATGGATAATTCCACCTTTGTTACACCATCTGCTGAATACTGGCTAATACGTTCAGTAATGCTCGCTAGCAACTAGTCCTATTCAGGCAGTTGCCTGGGGTTCTGGTGGGAAGCCATGACCAGTAGGGTTAAGGAGGCTGAATGTCAGGTAGTATATCTTCGAAGAAGACAAAGCGATGTGGTCGCGCCATATCATGAATTAGTAGAAGTTAGAATTCATGAACTGGCCAATAGATCGGGTCCCAATGCCTGCTGAATGGTCATCGAGCTCGCCATATAACAAGAAGGTCATGGGTTCGAACCCCGGTGGGTGATTACTCCGGAAAAGTCTCAAACTAGGTTGACAAAACGGCTGTTCAGTAGTTTCAGGATTTCGAGTGGTTCTCTAACTGATGTAAGCTTCTGATGAAATCCTTCAAACAAACAAACAAACAAAGTCTCTACAAAACCATAATTGAGTAGTGTTTTGAAGCGAATATCCCAATTGGCAATACGGAAAGCTAAAGCATGAAATATTCTCTCACTCATTCAATAAGAAGGAATATTTGTTCTTCTCATGAATGCTAGGTCCCACGCCTAATTCAGGCGTCACAGATAGGAACTGACTAGGTTCACATCATGACCACCTAGACAGTGTGAACACTCTCTATGACTGCAAAATACAATGAGAATTCAGCTTTTCACTGTAGACAAAGTTGAAATGATAATGTCGATTTCCACATATAATATCTGATGTTGTCTCAGATCTATATGTAGCTTTAGTGGCCTTCACGATCAGGTTGGAAGCTCTCAATATGAAGGCCTTCGCGATCAGTCACCTGCATTCACGGTCATGTGTCGACAATCAGTCAATATTATTCGCAGCATCTTAATCTTTTATTTTCTTACAGACAATCAACACTCTTCATTATTTTCACTTAGGAAACATTACTGACATTTCCGTAGAACTCACAAATTCTCTTATCGTCCACTCGAAATCTTTTATTTTCCAGAGACTTCAGGTGTCTTTCAATAAGTTTCAGAGCAAACCAATGTGGGATTTTGACGTCATCAGTTTACGTATAGATAGTGTTCTGCACGGCACGCCTTTTGAACTCATGTACTTATTGAGGCGTTCAATGTAGAATCTCGTTAATTTCAAATGGAGAATTCTCACAATGCGTCGTGTGGAATGTTTGAAATTCACTTCGATCAAAGTAACAATTTAGAGACGGGATATCATTTCAGGGTTGAATGAAATTATTGTCTGAAAGTGTACTACGCTGGCTATGCTCACCACAGTTAACCAATGCACACATGGACTTCTATTAGTGCCTACTGCATGTCTGCAATAAAGTAGGGTAATTGAAACATATTTGGATTTCTGATTTCTGGATCCCGTCATCTTCTTGAGAGCTTGGACCACTTTCATCAAGTTTGATTTACTTTCTACTCGCTTAGTGATAATTTGAGAAGACTAGCTTGTAAGCATGTATTGTAAATTCGACAAGTTAGAGTCACTATTCTCACAAGGATGATATTATTTTGTCTTGTCTGCTAATACTCTGAATTATCACGAGTCTAAGTCTCTTCGTCTCCCGGTGATATGCTCTGAATATCCGCTATTGTAAATGCAATTAATGATAAGATTCTTCAGGCAGTAAGTGTACAATTCACGCTACTTGTTCTGTCGTCCGTTGAACTTATGCAGCAGGAGGAAAAACCGTGGAGATGGAAAATTGAATAAATTGGTCAACCTTCACACCGTACACGAAATCCTCCTATTATGGTCATTCATCGTCTTCATCCATAGCATGTGATCTTCGTAATTACAATCCACTCACCAAATTTGTCATGGATATGAAAATTATTTCGTCAGCATATAAGTAGTCTGTTATTCTAAGTGAAAACTGTTTCCGTCGCATGACATGCTGTTATCGTTACAGTATAATGAGAGACATAGTTTACCCCTTCTCTCTAATTAATTATGACATCTTGAATAAAATTGTTTATGTTCTGTGATAAAGTTCAATTTATTTAGAGAAGTGAAAATCACGCCATTATTACGTGGACCTGAGAATTCAAATCACCTAGAAATGCACCAATCTCTTCTCTGCATTTGTTTCTCTGAAGCAAGTTTACTGAAGTTGTTTTAGTATAAATTATAATAAAATCAAGCAATCACACGTTATCATGGCGTTCGCTCTCTTATCGTTGGAAATCACCGCCTTCATCTTTCTCCTGCGTGTGTCTCCATCCACAGGTAAACCTGACTTTATTTCACTGTCCTCATGCTGCATGGTTATTTTCAAACTACATGAAGTGAATAGAAGTCACTTGTGAATTGTGATTGACAACTGCTTATGTAGTACATGATAATCAGTGATTTGTATGAATATACGAACCACTCCATTCTACCAGATCTATCAGATGTCGATATGAATAGGATTGTCTGACGAATTCGAGGTCCGACATGACAACCCGATGTAGTCATTTCCCTGACACATTCAAATGACACGAATTCGCGTTGATTTCATACATTCCTGTTGCACAAATTGTGTTCATTGATGATTTCAGTTCCATGTCTACAAACTCATTTTGAGTGGAAAGACGTGCTGAGTGTAGATTCAGTGCACGAGATAAGCATTCCAGTGGTTTCCCTTCGATATAGTAGTTGAGTGATTCTGCTTCACTGTCGACCAAGTGATTCGTAGGTATTATTTTTCCCGCATATTGATTATATTACCAATGAATTTTTTCCTTATTTTCTTAATTTATTTGAAGCTTACGCAATAGGCAAAGAAGCGTCTTATATTGGACCAAAATATAGTGAGTCTTTGAAGATTGAGCAGTTGTTTTAACATCCACGTTTTCGTTGATATTTTGTAATTCATCTGTGTCTGACTTGTAAATTCTTTCGAAATATGAAGTTGATTGTTGAGTATCCAGTCACGCTAGGAATGATTATTCGGGAATATTACCCTGTCAAACTTTAGTATATTTCTCTCTTTAACTCATAGGTTGTCGCTTAGTTTTAGATTCTTATAGAATTGCATGATGTTGTGACCTTTCAATCACTGAAGTGTGCCACAATTCAATAAGATTGGAAATACTAATTTGCTCGAATGACCCTACTTCGTCGCAGAAAAGCGCTAATGAAAACTAAAATTTTATTTGTGTATGCCTTTAATGTCTCGAACACAGAAAGCATGATACATTCTCCAAAATATCGCAGTAAACATTCATCAGATTTCAAACAAACACACGCTATCATGGCGTTCGCTCTCTTATCGTTGGAAATCACCGCCTTCATCTTTCTCCTGCGTGTGTCTCCATCCACAGGTAAACCTGACTTTATTTCACTGTCCTCATGCTGCATGGTTATTTTCAAACTACATGAAGTGAATAGAAGTCACTTGTGAATTGAGATTGACAACTGCTTATGTAGTACATGATAATCAGTGACTTGTGTGAATATACGAACCACTCCATTCTACCAGATCTATCAGATGTCGATATGAATAGGATTGTCTGACGAACTCGAGGTCCGACATGACAACCCGATGTAGTCATTTCCCTGACACATTCAAATGACACGAATTCGCGTTGATTTCATACATTCCTGTTGCGCAAATTGTGTTCATTGATGATTTCAGTTCCATGTCTACAAACTCATTTTGAGTGGAAAGACGTGCTGAGTGTAGATTCAGTGCACGAGATAAGCATTCCAGTGGTTTCCCTTCGATATAGTAGTTGAGTGATTCTGCTTCACTGTCGACCAAGTGATTCGTAGGAATGAATAGTCTCAATTCCTGATTATATTAATTATCAATTTTTTTATTTCCTTCTTTTATTTGAAGCTGTTCCAGTTAGTAGTGATTTTGGTACGTCCTTTCGCATTGAACATTAATTTGAGTATTCACGTTTTCGTTGATATTTTGTAATCCAACTGTGTCTGACTTGTAAATTCTTTCGAAATGTGAAGTTGTTTGTCGCGGTTCCAGTCATATCAGGACTGATTATTCGAGAATACCACACTGTCAAACTTTCGTATATTTCTCTCTACAACTCCTAGTTTTTCGACCAGTTTCAGACTATCATAGAATGAATAGACCAGTGCTGAGATATCATATGAATGTTGTAAATAAATGCATTGCGTGAATCAACTACATCTAATCAAACAAGACAATGGCGTTGACATTGTAGTATCTGAACACTGTGGATATGTGGAAATCGACATTATCATTTCAACTTTGTCTACAGTGAAAAGCTGAATTCTCATTGTATTTTGCAGTCATAGAGAGTGTTCACACTGTCTAGGTGGTCATGATGTGAAGCTAGTCAGTTCCTATCTGTGACGCCTGAATTAGGCTGTGACGTAGCATTCTTTAGTGGACTGAAATTGCCTCTTGTGGAATGAGTGAGAGGATATTTCAAATGGTATCGTTCCGCAGTCTCAAGTAGAACATCCTCTTCAGTACACTTCATTGATCATATCGACCAGCATTATTCAGTGTTATGAAATAGGAAACGTGCTGGCACACATATACTCTAAGTCAGTCATTCTTGAAACCGAATTAGTCATAGAATTCAACCAAGCTTAGTTCTCTGAATTGACGCTCACTTTTGTTATTTTGAAGATGCGGATCGTCTTGCCAAAGAGATAAGCATTTTAGAACCTATCATGAAATCTAATCTCTGTAAGCAAATTCTTTTCAACATATTCCTATATTCCATACATTTGCTTAACATTTGATGAAGTAATCAAGTTTATGTTGACTGAATCAACTTTCATTTTCATTTGTGGAATGATTCATCGTATTCTCTCCGAATTCACGATTGTCTGCGTTTGAGGTGGCTGAGGAAGCATTTGCATGTAGCGTGTAACACTAGAACACTGTGTGAATGTAGACTAATTCACCATGACTGATGACAAGATTTGACCTTGATCATCATTTTCTGTAGTCATTATCAAGTGATTTGTGGAACATTTGCAATTTCTATTCTACAGGGGAACATCGATTAATCGAAAGCTTGCGGAACGGTACGAATGATAAAGTCAAGGAATTGCAAGGTGCGTTTACGATCCTGCTTTCACTTGCCATATTGCATTTGTGATGTTGTTTCTTAATTTGTTGTGTCAGTGATGCTTCAACTGAGTAGTACGCGTGTGATACTTAAACTCTGTGGTGGTGGTGGTGGTGATGGTGTTATTGGATTCACCTCAAGACTAATGCGATTGTTGGACATAACACAACAAGTGGAACAGGTTTGTTCACTGGATGATGTTTCGATGGAAATTTATTATTCACAATCGTATCACTTTGAAACACACGACTTCTAAGCTGCAATCTCAGTCTTCCCCTTCTTCCCTGCCTTATTCTCTCAACAAACGTGGAGTGTTCACCACCTTGCGTTATCCTTCCCATTAAGGATATCAGTGGTGTGATGTAGAGTTATAACCAGTAATTTGATGGGAGTCACAATATAAGTGATAACAGCTTCGCCATGTTTCGAGTAAAAACGTTTCGCTTTCTGAGGTGAATGTTGTGGTTTCGCATTATTATTCTCTGATTAGTGCTCAATACTTCGTACATGGGAATGCGGTAAATAATTGTAGACGGCTGTTCAAGTATTTGTAAACAGCAATGTCTAGGGATCAGTAGAGACAATGAAATTGATGACTCCATACAGTAGTTCGTTTATTCGTCAGCTTTAGTTGTCAATATTTGAGAAGTGAGCAATATTGACAACAGTTTCTCCAGTTTATCGCAATCATCATTTATACTGCCCGAGTCACCAGAGTGTTTGTCTCTTTCACACTCCAGAAGAATTGGAGATAAGTACTGGAGAAACGAAAACAACTATCGCTGAGTGTAAGTCAACAAATTGTATCAACATTGACAAATAATCATTCCTTTAGTTGTGAAGTGTCTGTTCAATACGTCTGAAGTCTACTACCGACCGACAATTTACAGAAGTATGTGAAATGTTTGTTGTTCATTTTCAACCTGCAAACAAACTGACTAGACTATTGAAATATTTCGTTAAATATAGATTTTGAATTAACACCACTACTGAATACCACTCAGATATGTGTGTGCTGACGTTCAGTTATTTAAATAATTTCTTTGAGTACTGCATCCCATGGTTAGGAATTTATCACCTTTTACTATCCCGATTCTTTTCTATCTTGAATTCGTTGTGTATTCATTTGTTTTGTCAGCCATTTCTCATTACCTCCATGAATTGTATAAGTCATATGGTAAGTACGCTTTTGTAACTCATTGTGGATTCTGTTTGATCTTGTACGCTTCGCACTTCGATCAGTGAGTGGTCGAAGGTGATTTGTGAAAGAAATTCAGTTGAGTCACGCTGCTGCTGTTGAGAGATGAGCGTAAAGTGACAGACTGTTTTCAGCTGCTAAAGATGCTGATCCCATGTTTTACTATCAGTTACTTGGATTCAATCAGTGTGAGATAATATGAGTGCTTATGTATGGTGGAGACGTTTCATAGCTCAATTGGGTGATTTTAACAGAGTGATATTGTCTGAGCTGGATAGTTCATCTGCGAAGCATTCGTCGCGCTGCTAGTCCTTGAAATAAAGCATCAAGCTCAGAGAACACAACTACATCAAAAGATCATAAGATTTTCTAGCATTTTATCAAGTCTCAGAACAATTATATGTATTGTCGGAGGCAGTTGATGAAACAGACTCAGTTAATTTATTCGCTGGAATCTCGGAATACAGGGCACTAGTATTCTCCAGATGGTGAATATGACGTGAAATCATCCATTGAAATCGCTCCATTCGATCTATTCGACAGATGATTCTCAAATTACTGGTCAACAAATATTCTCTTCTCTTTGCATTTTAATCAGGGTATTTCATCATTACATTTGAGGATAAACCTCTCTGGATGAAATCGCTAGACGATGCGCACCTATGTAAGCATTGATATTATTGGTTGAGAAAGTTGGTTTAACTTTTGCTGACAGCGTCACACCCGTCTGACTGACTTCAACATCGCTGTGTTCCAATCCACCATATTCAACTGCTTACGTAATTATTGCTGATAGCATGAGCGTATGACTGAAAGACAGATATGTTTACCTGTGGGATATTTGAGTGCATTCGTCATTCACTGGACAGAAGTTCACATTGAACAGTGATTTTGTATACAATTGTGTCGTCATTTCGTGAAAAAGTATCAGTGTGTTGGGACTCGGTTGGTTTATGAGATTGTCAAAAGCAAAGCGAGTGATTACTCTCTGATGCCAGTCTCTACAATCCTTTTGTGAATGAGCACGTCATTTTGAATATTTCATGCCCAGTCACTCACAATGTTCACAGGTGAGTTCACAGCAACTCAGAACTAGTCGGCGTCAGTGTGCACATCACTCAATCACAAGATGGGCAGTTCACTGACTCAAAGATAACCCGTGTGACCATTTCAAACCTCAGATATCTCTTCGAGAAGATCTGTCACTCATTGCTTACTTCCCAGGAATCACTTTCACCTTATCAACAGTTTGGAGAAATTCACGACCTACATACATATTCTTATTTCAGATGTTCTCTCAAATGAGTAATATCTTTGTATATTTTCACCTCAATGAATTTCAGTCAATGCCAGCAGTAAGTCAAATCACTTAATACTGGTGTTTAGTAATATGAAAGACACTATATTTATTTCGTAGTTGTCAAAATGCTGTCAATACTATTCTTTCTCTTTTTAAACAGTTGATGACCAACCGCCAGATTTCAGAGTTTGTGATAGTCTTCTGTCGATTGAACGCACTGAAAGTAATTTGAAACACACCATTGATTTTTGGATGATTATTCCACCAGGTTCATCTTTCATATTTCGCAGACTGATGTTTTTCGATTTATTCGACTGAATAATAATTGACAGTGACTGTCATACTACATCTGTTGGGAGTGATGAATCTCTCAAGTACTCTAATTATTCTTCTTTCAATGGATTTCCACTTACCAGATATCTAAGATTGTATCATGATATGTAATAATGTTACCTTGGATTTGAAGTGGAATATACGGCTTCAACAGAACATCTCCACTTCGTCCTATTCTCTGAGGCAGTCTACAGCCAGCCTTAAGTTTTCCCATAAGTTCTTATTCCTTCGCTACATGATCTTCTCAATGTCTTCACATTCGGACACACGTCCAGGCCTTTTTTTGTTACTCGGTTTGCAATCGAGCTATGGCGCGTATTGAAAGAGTGTGTCCGATTCATCTACAGTTTCCTCAGCATATTTTGTTGATCAGTAGGTTCTTGGTTGGTTCGTCTCCAGAGTTTCTTGTTGCGAATTCTCTCCAGCCATTTGACTGATTTTTAATATGTAGCTAGCGAAGTCAGATGCCTGCTGCAAATTCTGTGACATGTTGTTACATAAACATATATATATATCATCATGCGTATTTAATATTAGATGTGATGAGAGGGATTCAATTTATAGATAGAAACCGCTCCGATCAGCGTTTCTGTCTTCCAAATTACCAATGATTCTTCTCGTCCTCTCCTGTCCAAAAATCATTATGTCTATCCCCGATATTCTTTCAGCATGTGCTCAAACTATGCCTATCTTTTCAGGAATAAATGAACTGCGTGAAGACATAAGAAGGTTCAGCGTTTTGAATCTTAATTATAAGATAACTGGTGGTAAGTTGAGACACATACAAAGTCAAATATTTTGCAAAGTGCTTTCGAAATTCTAGTATGTCATTAACGTCTAGTCAGAGGTGAGATAGCACTTCTCACTCAGATGTTTTGTGTTCACTGCGGATACTTGTACTGATGATTAGAAACATTAGATTGTCAACATTTTATCTGTTTCCTCGCATGCGTCTATTCATGTTCATACATCAAGTAAGCCATTTGATGACAAACTGCATCTTTTCATTATAGAAATCAATTCATTGTTTGATAACGTGAAGACAAATATGAAGGTGAGTTTATGTACCAGAATCAATCCACACACCTCCCTGTGACAAATGTCAGTCTCCTTGTCATTTATCCTCCACCAACAAATCTCATGTCGTATTGAATAATGTCGTGTTGGTGTTTACAGACGAGTAGATGAGATGTTCACTTCTAACGAATAACTAAACCTTGTGCAAAGAAAATTTCAATAGTCTGTATAACAATAAGATGAGAAGCTTTGGCTTCTTTCTGACTGACTGCTGTGTCAGTTTATCGGTATGATTCTTTTATCTGAGGCGCTTAATACACGTCTTGCCAACATTTCAATACATCGACTGTATGATCCAGCGTATGGACTAGAGCACAATGGATTTGAGTAATTCAATCAGTTGAAACTGGAAATGTCGGAAATTGCTGATTGATTCACTCACAAAAGCGTTTATATTTCCTTCATTATCGTCTTTGATTTTATTGAAGTTTCTCATTGATTCGTCATTTTCGTCTTCTTTCTTCTGTTATTCAAGAATAATGTCACGCTACCGTAAAAGAAATGAAATACAGTCATGCGTGTGAGATGGACATATTCATTCAACTGTTTTCACGAATCATTTGAAGACAACATGCTTTTTCTTTTCTCTTTCACTTAATTAAACTTTAGTATTCATAGTTATTGGTAGTCGTAGTAGTAGTAGTAGTAGTAGTAGTAGTAGTAGTAGTAGTGAAATATGTAATAATAATGTTAATTATAATAATTTTGATAATAAAAGTAATGATAATAAAATATTGACTTCACTTTGACTTTCTCACCAGAATGATCAGTGGTGACGGTGTGTGTAAAAGGTCATGGTGATATTAGAGATGAAGTGATAGGAAAATTCACCTGTGATGGTTGTGGTTTTCCTTCAATTATGACTCAGTGCCATCTTACAATCAGCTCCTTTTATTAGTTTGAGCAGAGAAACAGCGAACACATTTCCAGGATGATACAGGCTCGTCTCATTTCACGGATTCTCTTCAACCGTGAAAATACTAAACTTCATCAAATTATAAGTTACGAAATGTTTGAACACACTTTTCACGGCGACTCGGAGTTATACATAGGAAGTATGGAGAACATAATCTCGAAAATGATGCAGGTAGACAAATTATTCAGTGTCAAAAGACCAACTATTTGTAGTGGAATCAGAGAAGGGAGGGCGGTTGAGTTCAAATTCTGCTTGGAAACAAGGATTAACTGGAGACAAACTACAAGATGGAAGAACATAGTGAACTGATACATATTCTAATGGAGAGGTGAAGAGGGTGGGGATGAATAGTAGAGTGAAATTATCACAGACAAACAATCAAGTGTGTTTGGAAACTCAACAGTGCGTTCCACTCAGTGAGTGAGAATCAAAATCAAGTGGATTGTAGCGCGTTAGAGCAGAACACAAATTCCACGATCGAACAGATATCAATTTAACTACTCGCATTACTTGAACTAGAAAACCCGATTTATTCAAACACGTCTTTTCGGTAAATCCTCATCAAGTGTATGAACTAGTGGATAATAGCCTAGGTGATCACAACATTGATGGCATGATGGCATAGCAATACTAAGTAATAATGACTATCAAGGAGAGTGTGGCCAGTCAATTATTGTGAGCGTGAACGTATGTAGGGTGGAGGGATGCAGGAACTATTGTGTCATCACAATGTTTAGTTTGATAATATATTGTGAAATTAAGGCAGAGAATGATAAGGGTAATTAAAACAAAGGTAACCGTACAACTGAAGATGATATTTACAGAGGGAGAAGAACAGGGTCGGAAGACTGTTTCACAGTAAATTCGTTTTCAAAATGCACAATGATAAATGCAAAAACTTTAGCACACATTAGTCAATAAAGAAAACTCAGGACTATATCAGAGAGTGTAGTGCGATACAAGTGGAAGGTTGAATTATAGTCAGTGAAATCGGCTTGCCATCTTAATCCATGTAGAATGGGTGATCAATCAGAACATGAGATAACATGAAGTTAAGTGATTCAGTGGTGTGTTTGTGTGCATATAATGAAGGTGTTTGGTGAGGTGAGTGTAGACAGGGAGGGAGAGAGAGATAGCGCTAAAGAGAGGAGAAACTGGCAAGTAGGATATGCTGGACTCAATTTGACTCAGTGAATGGGACAGCGATTCAATGTGGTATTTTCACACGCACACACTTTGAAACAGATCAACAGAGACTCCCTCCGGCTGGTTGCACATTTAATGCAGTGTTCTCAGTATTGGATAGTGGCAGCTAATTTTTCCTGAAGACGAAACAAATCGTTGGTAACCATTTTGACGACTGCATCTTTTGAATAGGTCTGTTCTTTGCGGCAAATAATCGCTCAGCCGCATCAATGATGGAAATCAAATACTTCAAGGGTAGTGAGAAAATTTGACATATTCATTCATGTGGCCACAGTACGCTGTCAATAGTCTTCTGTGGTAGAAGCCGCTTATTTCGTCTCACTTCTTTCGAGGTAACTGCAGCCATCTGCAGCAACCACTGAGTTACTAGCTTCGATGTTTTCCATTCATCCTACAGTTATTGTGGCAGAAGGTCTCTGCAGCAGACAGTGTGTCTGTTGTAGTGACATATCGCTCAATTTGTGTTCATTGTTGAGGGCTCGCAATATTCTCCTGTCACTTCTACGCGTATGTATTTGGGAGCGATATGAGCTTTAGTGAAAAGCCTTTGTGCAGTTGAATTGCTCAACAAGTTATTCCATATTAACTTGTTTATTAGATTTATCACACAGTAAACAGTATTATTTACTGGATGACGTTTCGAACAAAATTTATTGTTCATAATCATATCATTTGTAATCACATCACTTCGAAACTTGAGTTTTATAGTCTTCTTTGTCTTCTCCTATTTGACGTAGGGATAGCAGAATTTTCCAGATTTCGGGGACTGGTGATGAACCATTCCCATTACATGTATTTACAGTTGATTCGATAAACAAAGCTTCTGTTATCAATCCCTCTCTATACCCTGTGACATTAGATTTTAAAACTGTCATCTTATCCCATCCTTTTGCATGGTTGTGTGTAACTACAATCCAGCAAATAATACTGTTTCACTGTGTGATAAATCTAATAAACAAATTAATATGGAATTACTTACTACCACAGTGACCAAGTTTACACATATATTTATATGCTCAAAAAGTTATCTGGAACTGACAGGGAACCCATACTAGCATGTACCAGTCTTCAGAAATACGGACAACAGTTATGAAAGCGGAAGAAAGAAACAGAGATACTGGGATTGTATTTATTGCTTCTCTAATCAGTTCATCGAAGTCTTCACTAGTATTGTAAGGCGTACATCACAGCCTTTGTCGACAAATGCTAACATTGCATCATGTTGTACTCCTAAGAGCACTTCCACTGTAACATTCTGCCTGACTGGAACTACATCCGTTCAATTCTCGGGTGAATGTTTGAGGATTGTTTAGTTTCAGTTATGTAACATACCGATTTCAGTGGTCTTTGCCACCGAAAATTTACCACATAAGCTGAAATCAAACAATGCAAGAGCTTCAATTAATGTGACTGACGCCCAAGTGGTGATAGATTTCAAATGATAAATTCACGAATGTGCAGATGATTCAACTAAATCTGTGACGCAATCACATTTTAAAGCATACGGTACAGGATAAGTTTATACTGTGATTTGGTGGATTGAAATATTGAAGTTTCAGGTGTCATTCATTGTGTACATTGTAAGCGACTGTCATCACTCCTACTCTTTCCGATTTCTGTAGTGGCTAACGTCAAATGGTATGTATTCACTTAGCTGTTTGAATGTTCATCAAAGTTAGATGTCGAGCAAAATCTTATTTTCATTGAAATGGAATTTGACCTTCTCATAAGTTGAACGAGTCAACATGTATCGACGTTGTATGTTTCAGATAACTCGGTAGTTGAAGCTGTGAGTTGTTGCTTCGCACATCCTGATCACATGGTCTCGACTTTCATGAATACTAAGACAACAGTACACCCCCTTTACCCATCTATCTGCTTTGAGTAGATCAAATCGGTCATTAGTAAAGAACACATAGTGAGGTGAGTAGTCAACTGAATTTTCCTCAGAACTCGTTAGTATCCACATTTCAATATGTGGCCCGCCTCGCACAACGAACTGAAGTTGTACTGAGAGGAGAAGACAATTCCCTCATCAAATACATTGCTGAAATTCCCACTATCTCTAGCTATTCCTACGCCAAACCATCGTGCCAACCATTTCCCATTCATTTTCTTTTGCAAATTCTCAAAACCATCTCGATATGGTGATCAAGGCGACTGAAAAATGTGAAAGTTCGAGGGCAATGCTCTTCGCTCTGATCAGACGCTGCTTCTCAGATGATGCATAGTTTGTGTTAACTTTCGCTTCAATAAGAATGCATTCTATTATACGAGGAGGTTGTTGTGCCACTGAATTCGTCATATCTGCCAGATGAATTGGAGAAACCTCTACCTGGATAAATTACACCGCCTTTCATTCTATTCAAGTGAACACACACCCTAGTGAACATATTTTCCAAATGAATGCGTATTTTTATTTTTTGTTTATTCATGAATACTTACAAATTACTCATCAGGATAGTATTTAATTAGGTATTGAAACACACAGAGTTTAGTGGATCTGGTTGAGGGTGCGTCTTTACTGCAGCAGATTCAGTGACTGAGAATTGATTAACATGGGTGTCATATTCCTGGTAAATCTAGTTCTCAGTCTATTCCCTTTATGTGCTATCTGTCAATCCACTGCCTGTTTGTTCTACATAAAGTGTTGTTTCCTCCTTGTATCAGTGCTCACACATGCTCACACATTTTACAGGCGTGAAATATATCACTGTTTCAGAGAGAAAGAGGCTGCCCTCCAGCTCCCGTCGTCTGAGCACATGTACTCCCTGTTTAGTTAGACCGCCTGTAGTCTCAGTTCGTCCTGCGCTTCCCTTCCTCATAAACATCTCGGTCAAAGTTTGCAGTTATTATCAGCTCAACGTAGCACAATACTGAAAATATCTCAGATAGTCTTCGCTTGTGCTGCTCACTGGTGACATTTTCCAACAGCTTTGCTGAGTGATGACGGTGTGAAACAACGACTGGATGTTAGTCCACCAAAGACGTTGAACACAAACCTTGCTGACGAGTGGCAACTGTCACAGACAAAATGTCCAGAGCAATCTGCTGATCGTTACCAACCACCTCATAGTAGTAATAATGTACACTCGTAATGACCACAAAGCACCGTCGACTGATCGAATTCAATTAGTGCCACTAATGACTAGACACGTGATATCTGCTACTCACCACTGACCAATAAATATTATAACAAGGATATCAGTTCATATGATTATGGACAATAAATTGAACTCGAGATGTTATCCAGTAAATCATGCTGTTTCACTGTGACATATTATCCAATAAAAAATAATTAACATGGAATTACACATTACCGAAGTAGCCAGGTTTCATACATTCTCAAATGACTGCCTAATAATAGAAGACCCAAACTTGCATAACTCGATGATGATATCGTCCGACTTCCACGATTACAAACTCGATTCCTTGGATTATGATGCAAGCATTTTTGACAGCTGCATGGTTAATTTTCTTAATAATAGTAATAATTTGCTTCATTCCAACATACGACTAATGTTACAATGTGGGATTTTCAGCATTTCG